TTGGTGGTGCCATTGATAGGCGATGGAGTGGTAAACGGGCAAGACGCTTCTTCCTGCGCCAGCCAGCGGCTCCCGGAACACCTTAAGCACTGCACCATGACGAACAGCGAGAACACACGTCTGCAACTGCCAATGAAGGGAGCAATGAGTGGAGGATGATCGATGCATGAGGTTGGGAGGCGGCGACCTACTGATGATCGGTGCCGGTAGAGAAGAGCCCGATCACGATTGACGGACACGCTAGGCGGGAGCGGGAGAGTCCAGCGGGGGCGGCACTGAGCGGAGGAGACGGTCGGCGGACAAATCTCATGGGGTGAACGGGTACTGGTAGAGCTCGATCTGGAGTGAAGTCCAGCGGGCGTTCTTGGGAGCTTTGCCGCCATTGCGATCTATATATCACAAGAGACGATCCAGCTCTCTAGAGCCGATTGAGTCGAGGAGGATGTGAGCAAGGTAACAAACATACACATCGTGAGAGATCAAGGAAGTCATGCACACGACCTCGGGCAACACCGTGGCCGATCTCGATCGGGAGGAAGACCAAGGACGCCCATCGTGCTTCCTCGAACTCGGCGCTGCTCTTCCTCGATGCGAGGTCTCGGCGTCTCGCCTAGGTATAGGAGAGCACGTGATCCCGGGCATCATATATATGGGAGGGTTAGGAAGGTTCAACTGGAAGTTCTGATCGTGAGTTTCTTTGTTTTCTTATTTAATTGGTTTTCTAGTAGTAGTACATGACTTTGACACGACACGTACGTTTTATTGAACCAAAATTGTGCAATGAAGAAAACAAAAAAAGGAATAAGGAATAAGAACCGCGACCGGGAAAACAATAAAAGAAGGTAACATGTATTTGTGCACAAGTGAGTTCCTAGTGGTTAGTGCACTTGCGGTCTCCGCGAAGAGATCCTGAGTTCGAACCGTTCTGGCGCACTAACATTTTTTGCTTGGGTTTGAAAAATATAAAGAAAAAACGGGCCGGTCCAATTACAAGCGCGCCAGTTGGTGAACCGGCGCAGAATTCGCCTCGTTGAATTACCGAGATAGAAATTTAGTACCACCTCGAATATGTTTCAAATTTAAACTGAAAGCGTAAATTCACGGGAAAAAAGCGTATTGTGATGGTATATATATATATATATATATATATATATATATATATATATATATATATATATATATATATATATATATATATATATATATATATATATATATATATATATATATATATATATACTAGCAAAAGGGCCCGTGCGTTGCAACGGGAGAAATTTTTTTATAATCATGACCACATTTTGTTGCATCATCAAGGGCTGGGGACGCCCCCTTCGCGGCATGTTTTCCTGACCTATTCTCCATCGCGGTTGACCCGCGGATCTCTATTGCAGTGGCCCTTATTGACTTAGGGCAACTCACCTTCCGCCGTCCTTTTGGCCCAGATGAGAATGTCGCCTGGCATGACTTGCTCGACTGCATCACGTTGCATGAGCCTAAGCTTGATGTGGAAGATGATCGCACCAGGTGGCGTCTAGAGCCCTCTGCTTTGGCGGCCGCTTAGCCGCCCCAGGAAGAGAGACGCCATCACCTCCATCATCATCCAGCTTCGCGCGATGGCTCTCCGGATTGGTTATGTTCTTCTTGATGGAACAGCAGGTCCTGTCTTCAAATCCAACATGAGCACCCACTTTTCACCTTTTTTTATTTTATTTTTATTAAGCGGACCGTGGAAGCCCACTGGGCATATAGGCCCAGCAAAGCGAGGACCAGGTTGCACGGGAAAGGCCCCGGCGAGGCACAAATTGTACTAACGAGGGTTTGAAATTAGTACCACCTTGAATAGCAAAGTAAAATAACGAAAGCGTAAATTCATGGAAAAAAACATATTGTGACGGTGAATCCATGGAGTCACTCCGTGGTTTATTATTAAGGATAGATTAGGAATAGATTCAAATTTAAACTGAAAGCGTAAATTCACGGGAAGAAAGCGTATTGTGACAGTGAACCCACGGAGTCAATCCGTGCTTTATTATTAAATAAAAAAATTAAGGATAGATTAATATTAATATTAATATTAATATATAATAGGGAAAGATATATATATATATTATTATTATTATTATTATTATTATTATTATTATTATTACTAGGGAGAGATTGGAAAACATGTTCAAGCACAAGCTACCCAGAAGGCGTATTTCCTTGAGGTACACGCACGGCGTGCCGTGTCCGAGCATAGCTTCTTTCTCCAAGAAAGAAAGGGAGGCTCGCGGGTCGCCACGCACTCGGGTCCACGTCTCTTTTAGCCGCCGCCGTGCCGATCCGACGGACCGACCGACCAGAAAACCCTAGCTCGTCGCGCCGCCGCCGCCGCCGCCGCAAAATCTTAAACCCGCACGCCCCTCCCTTGTCCCCGACCTCGCCGGCCTTGGCACCAGCCATGGCGTTCACCGCGCGCATGAAGGACCTCATGAGGAAGTACGGCAAGGTGGCCCTCGGCGTCCACGTCTCCGTCTCCGTCGCCTCCGTCTCCGGTATGTACGTCGCCATTAACAACAACGTCGACGTCGACGCCATCTTCCGCAAGATCGGCATCAGCGCCCCCGGCACCGCCGCCGCCGACGCGGCCCTCCCCGCCCCCGCCCCCGCCCCCGGCGCCGGCGACGGGGCCCTCCCGAACCCCGCCCCCTCCGTCGTCGTCGGCCAGGAGGCGCCGCGGAACCGGACCGGGGAGCTCGCGGCGTCCAGCGGCGGCGCGCTCGCGCTCGCCATCCTCTGCAACAAGGCCCTGTTCCCCGTCAGGGTCCCCATCACCATCGCGCTCACGCCGCCCATCGCCAGGCTCCTCGCCCGCTGGAAGCTCGTCAAGAGCCTCAAGCAGACCTGAGCTGTGAGCCCAATGACCCCCCCTCTACGACTTCAGCATCGCCTAGTTGGAATCAAAATTAGATGCAAATTTTGCTACACTGTACGATTGGTTTAGCTGTGAGAGGATTTGTGAATTATGCCCGTCTTCTATCCTAACTATTGGAACTGGTAACTTTGCAATGTAATTGGTAGCTTCCTTTCTTTTCTGGAGTACTCTACTGTTCTTCGTTTGTACTGCTCCTTACCTAGTTGTCCAGTACGGCTTTGAACAAGTTACAATATAAATACACTGTTTCGAATATCTAGCCAATCCTCTTTTTTGCAGTGTTCTGGATTCAGTTCCAACAACCTGGACAGTGTAGTTATCTGTATCTCTTTTCTGTACAGGCTAAAATACTCTGTTTTAAACAGTTTTAATTCTTAACACCAGTGTCAGTGCATCAGAAATTGGAAGAGGATTGTAATAGAATCATAACTGCCTCTTTGAGCAAGACCATTTTGAATGACTATTAATAAATTCTAAGCTCTATGAGTGTATAAACATCTAGTGCATATCAGGGGCAGCCCAACATATATGTCCCTACTGCATACCGTTCTCAAGCCTACTTTGCATTGTGCAATAACTATCATTTCAAGTTAGGCATAGCGTGCTCACTGCTCAATAACCTATAGTATGATAATGTATACAACTATACAAGTACAATATACCTGTTGAAGAAGCTCTGTGCTCCCAAAGTTTATTACTGAAACCAGAGCACGTACAGAAACTCAACGGAAATGTTATCATGTTTGTGAGGCAGGCTTAGACTCACAGTCTTAGATCCGGACATTGTCCATACGCCTGACAGCCGGATCCCAACCATGGCATAGAACAAACACTGAAAATAATCAGATTATACTTGTTTTTAATGAATAGACGAATTATAAGGTCATGCACATACACGTTCTCTATATAACATTCTATTCCACGCGGACTGTGGTATGCTGTTTATCAGTGTGGTTGCGTGCTAAATGCAGTAGTAGGATGTGAAAAATTTGTAGCTTTACTTGCTGTCAACATAGTCAATTATCAAAAGCTTCATTACGTAGGAATAGGACTTTTTAGCCGGGGGGCTTACTTGAGGCCTGTCTTCTTCAAAACTCGAAATTCGTTTTTTCAAAAGAAACAGGACTATAGCCTTTAGAAGGCCAATTGACATTGACTTTTGATAGTTCCAGCTGCCCCGAGAAGATAGCATTTTTCAACAGATTGAGTATATGCTGCCACAGAATAAAATTTGAGTATATACTGCAACAGAATAGAATAAGGTGCCTGCACTCTGTCTTGTACTTATCATGTCACTTGTTCTTATAGGTGCCTTATTGCAAGTGCTCTGGGAGATTGCCGCATCCAGTCCAGGATTCAAGGTCTACTTTCCAGGGCATCCGCAATGGAGCGACGCCGTAAATTACCCCACTCTGCCGTCTGGTGCCATTGCACTTGTTTGATTTTTGTCAGGACATGGTTGCATGCACTTGCATCAAAGTTTCATACGCAGGAACTCTTGTTATCCCCTGAACTCAGAGGCGGCAACTCATTCTCTGAATTTTGTAACTTATACAAAAAGAGAAGTTTGAGAACGGAATAAGCACTATGATGATTAATCCAAGTAGATTTACTTATGTGGCTTTTCAAGATTGTTGATATCACATTCTGTTACAGACATTTGGTCTGTGATGGCATGATTGGAATTCATGCACAACTCTTTAATTTGTTAAATGTCTGTGATATGTTATTTTTTTTGCCACGTATAGCTCATTAATTTGTTCGATATCTGTAGTATGATCTGTTGATTATTTTTTGATGCATCATCTGATCTGGTTGAAACTCTGTACTGAAAAATGTTCATGTGACGTCTGAAGCACTGAACCTGAACAGACTGCATCAAGATTGGTGCGGCTCCAAGCACCGGTAGACAGTGGCCCTCCGATCCACTAGTATAGGCCGCCTTCGTCTCCTGCCCGCGCGCACGGTCCAACAACCAGCAGAGAACAGCCTCCGTCGATCCCCCGCGCGCCTCCGTCTCGCTGTCGCCGCTTCAACTGCCGGCCGGCAGGCAGCGCTGCCTCCGACCAGCTCGCCCGGCGGAAACATGATCGTCTGCGTCGCCGTCGTCGGCCACCAGGTCAGGACCACCTCTCCTACCCAGCCCCCTCGCTCCAGATCCCGAAATCCCGATCTCGTCTCCTCGCCGGCGACGGCGGGAGTAAAGCTGATCTTCTTTACGGATGCTCTGGTACTCGTCGCAGAACAACCCGCTGTACCTGCAGAGCTTCACGGAGGCGGACGACGCCCTCAAGCTCCACCACGTCGTCCACTGCTCCCTCGACGTCATCGACGAGCGAGGTAGGCGCATTACCCTTCGTGGCAATCTAGATCTAGGCATCTGTTCCTGTCAAATGCACCGAGATAGCTCAAATTCGATTCCATCTCCTGTCAAATCATCATTAGTTAAAGTCATTGGTATCTTGTTGTATCTGTCAATGGATGTTGATTACATATCAGATTAGACAACTAACTCATCTGGAACCCCTACAGCCACGCTGAAAGCTTCACAACGCGAGAGCGCAGAAGTTAATTGCAATTTATTCATTCAAAACCATGGGACTGGTTCGAGATGAGTCCTGATAAGTGTGGTGGTTGCATCCATCTCACTGGATTTAATTCAAATGAACTGGAGAGGGCTCAAATCTGACTCATCTCCTGTCAAATCCTTGGTTAAATGCATCGAACTCTAGTTTGTAACTGTTAATGGACGTTGATTATATGTCAAATTAGACAAGTGATCCACGTTAAGTAAAAGGGACTAGTTACAAATTCCATGTTGTGTGGGTACAGAAATCGCAATTAACTCTGCCACTCTGCTATGCAAAGTTTTTGATGTGCATATAGCTATAGGGTTTCCAGCTGAGTCCCGATGGTTGCAGCCATCTCATTAGAATTGAGACTCAATTCACATGGGTCTGTCTAACTATTTAGATTGCAACCATCAAAGTTTCATTCTAGTGACATTGCAATTATTGTTTGTCGATCCCTTGTATCATATATCTTACTTCTGTTCACATACATTCCGTTGGCAGTGAACAATCCTAAAAAGAGTGCACCTACACTGAACGAAACATTTTTGGGTCTTCTATATCCGACTGAGAACTACAAAGTGTAAGTCCTTTCACAGTTTTGGTTATCACCTGTCCCAAGTCAAACTTCTTTAAGTCTTGACCAAGTATTTTGATTAATATGCTACTATCTAGAACATCAAGTGAAAATATGTTTTATGACAGAACTAACGAAACTAATTTGCTGTTGTCGATGTTAACACATTTTTATATAATCTTTGTCAAACTTTAAGAAGTTTGACTTAGGACAAAGCTAGAACTTAATGTGATTTGTAACGGAGGGAGTAGTTTTAATTTACAGAATTACCGAAGTTTCAAAATCCAGTTACTTGCCTTTACACAGAGTCACATAAGTTATTTTATCTGAATTATTCAGAAAGAAGTAAAGACAATGGCTCAATTCCAGAAAGAGTATATTAGATTCCTGCAGTATAATGTCAAGTGAGAAAAATAGAATCTCAACTGTGCTATTTGTTTATCATTTAGAGTAATATTTCTCTTCATTGCCAATTTATCGTTGTTGCTGGATGCACTTACTGCTAACAATTCATGAACTATGACAATCTATCATATGCAGGTATGGCTATTTGACAAACACAAAGGTCAAATTTTTAATGGTTACTACTGATCTTGATGTGAAAGATGCAGATGCCCGAAATGTAAGCTCTTAAACCGTTTATTTGCAGCAATTTTTAGTAGAATTACAGAGTTAGTATCCCCGGTGTATCTCTCTTCTTTCATCCGATGGGAAAGCGCAAGTACGGAGATATTTGATTATAATACTCCCGTCCTGTTTCTTGGCTGGTGTGATGAGTTTGCTGTTCGTACCAAGTCATACCTGACAACGTGGAAAGTGTCAGGTTTTCTCAGTCCAGCCTCTGAATAAGTCAGAACCACAAGTTTCAGACGATACGTAAATTTTATATAGTGATGATACTCCTAAATTCCGGACTCTTTCTGGGTGTACACAGTATGAAGTGTTGCTCATGCTTGCTTTGTGATGCAAAAATTAGAGTACCTTCTAACGTCAGCTCTTTTCTCAGTTTTTCAGGAAGTTCCATGCTGCATACGTGGACGCCGTCTCGAACCCCTTCCACGTCCCAGGGAAGAAGATCGCCTCGAGAAGCTTCGGTGCGAGAGTGAGCACCATAGTGAAATCCTTTGGCTCAGGGACTGTCGGTTAAAAACCACATCCGCCTGAGCACCCTCCGCAATCAATTGTCCTGTGCTTTACACCTTAACCGGCAACCTATCTTTACCTCCATTGTGTATCACAAAATGTATGTTGGACAAGAAATAGTTTGACACTCAAGGGAGAGTATATGGCTGTTATTGATTACTAAGCATTATGCCTTGTTTCTCTTCCTTCAATTTAGTGCAGCTGTAGTGATCCATGCTGTGCTGTTACTTCTATCGTCCGCTTGTGTGGGCTGTCTCCTGCCCATCCTGTTCCCCCCTCTTAGCTGCAGGCAGCAATGGCTGTGTTTCCAAAGCATGGGTGACTAGGGGTGAGTTCCAGTGAAAGTTGAGTGGGTGGTTTGGCATGGCAGCAGCAGACTTTCCCTGCATATGCACCAGCAGGTGAATGCTGCTGCTGATGCGCTGGCTCTCGTTTCCTCTGCCTTTCATCATCAGGTGGAGCCGACAGGTATTTGGATGCACCTACAACTCCCATAATCTTGGACCCACTTGATTCAAATCAAATAAATGAATACTCCCTTCGTATCCAAATATAAGATGTTTTTTGACACTCTTGTCTTGTATTTTGATATGGAGGGAGTAAATTTTAGACCCACTACAAGAAAGGAAAAGATAATATTGGTGAGCCTGACTTAGACTTGACCTGATCTTGGTCAGATTAGTCAGCCAGCAAGACAACTCCACCACAGCAACAATTTCGAAACGCAAAACCGGACGTGCAGATCATTATCCTAAAATGCTACCGAGCACGTCATGCCGAGCAAAAACAATAACAAATCTGCGGTGCTTTCTCATCTCAGACTAGTCGAAGCATGATATATTAGTTCTCTCTCCTATTTTTTCCTCGGATTCGGACCGATTAAACATAGTACCACTGACAACTCATACTAACTCTGAAGCATGCTATGTTTTCAGCTGGCTGACATTTTTGTTGCTTTCAGTCGATTTTCTCGGCTCATCTCATTCTCCACGAGACGGCATGAGCAGAACTGCAGCAGACGCACCTTGACGTGACGGATGGCAAGGCGCATTCGGTGCTGTGACCCGGGCTACCACTGTTGCTGCTGCACAGACCGGGGACAGATTGCCATCCGAGACTCGATTGAGAGACATATGCCTTTGCCTCTTGTCGTGACCAATAATGAGGCGACAGTTCACTGCCGACCCAGCTCCCGTCGTGCCGACACCGTGCCGGGCTGTAGCACCAGTAAGGCCAACTTCAACATTCGACCCCAACGAACGGGCGTTTGTTTTGTTCGGATTTCATCTATTTGAGTCGGCAAAATGAATATGCGTGTCTGCAAGCGGTCGCATGGCTGTCGCCAATGCCCAAGCGACCGCCGCAACCCAAATTGTATTCATTTTTGGACTTCTAAATTTGTAGACTAATAGACATTGCAAATATTTTAGAAAACACTATATATTACAATAACGTCCACAAAGGTCTCAAGGCCACACATTCAAACTGATCTAGAAATTAAAATGACATAAAACGGACATAAAACTAGATAAGGGCTGTCGCCACCATGGCCGTGGTCGTCTTCGGTCGCCGTCGTCATCCTCCTGGTCGTTCTTGGTGAGGTCGATGTAGGGCGGTGACTGCTATAGGTGGGCAGGCGGCACCGACGGCTGCTGCCAGGCAGGAGACACATGCACCACCTCCGGTCGTGGTGGAGACGGTGACCATGACTCGCCGCCGTCCTCCTCCTCGTCGTTCTTGGTGAGATCGATATAGGGCGGTGGCTGCCATAGGTGGGAGGCGCCTGCACCAACTCCGGCCATGGCGGAGACGGCGACCATGTCTTGGTGCCCACCCTCGAGGGCGGCATAGAGACATACTTCGCCGTGCACGACGCCACCTTCGTCCATGACCACGTCTGGCCCACCAATGTAGGGTTCAGACTGCGACACTGGGCTCCTCCTCCTCCTACACGTCTTCTATGGCCTCCTCCTTGACCACGACGTCCAGCTCCGGGATGGCGATGTCGCCGGCTGCGGAGAGGGCTATCATCTCTTCGAGGCCCTCCCATTGGGCCTTGTCCTGGGTACGGACGGAGTC